CCTTTAGTATTTCACTTACAATTTGTTATATGTTGTGTTTTTGTAGCTAGTTAATTGCGAATTTAATTGTTTTCTATCATTTATTTTCATTAATATGCATAGGTGACCGTTGTTACTTTATTTCAAAAAAATTATTCATTCTGTGCATGTTCTGCTGCCGAGCAAGAAACTTGGCAAATTAAATAATTATACATAAATACTCTGCAATAATGGGAGGTTATATAAAACATTTCAGTTACACAAAATAAACGGCCATGATTGTATATCAGATACCAAACTTTCGATTGTGCGATCGCGCAAGCTTATTTGCGCATTTTCTCATTTATGGAAAAAATGCGCTATTGTGCTCGTCATGTCCGACCGTCCGTGAGAAAATGCGCTCTCTGTCACTCACTGCAGTGAGTATTGATCTAATTTTTTTTTTTATCGATGAAAAGCTCGTTTTCGCAGACCTTCTTTGAAAGTATGAAGTATGTATAAATAAATATGAGTAAATAATTTTTATGGCTTGTTTTTATCATGCCCGTTTGGAATGTCTCAATTCTGACATCATAAATATTTTATTTTGCTCCATATAGAATCAGATGACTGGAGAGCTGACCATTCTGCTATCACTATGTTGTATTCCAGCTTCGCTTGCTTCTTGAATATGAAAAATGCAATTCAGCACAGGTTTAGTCTTAGTGACCAGAGTCTATCGTTTAGGCATGTGTGTACTTTGTGTACAGCTTAACTACGACTATTTGGCCAGTTCTGTCAAGACAGTACGAGCAAGAGTTATCCTGTTGGTGCAGTAGCTCAAACCGGCGAGTAGACCAGTCAGCCGAATCGTAGCCTTTATTTTTACTGCTAATTCAGCGAGTTATGTTCACAGCTACTACAGCTCTTAAGGCTTCTGAAACATGTTTGTGTATTGCAAAGGGGAGGAAGCGATTCTGAAATAACTTCGGTGCCATAACTTGAAATGGGATATTTGCTACAGAAACGGTGCTGCTGCTTTCTATTTATTTAGACATCACCGAACCCCATCACTGTATGCTTAAAACTGCAGCTAGGTCTGTACAAGATTTATTGGGAGTTGCAAGAAAGTTGGATTTTTTGCAAGTTTTGTAATTCGTTTTGAAATTGAAGTAAGTTCCCTTTGAAAAAACTACACTGTTAAAGTTAAACTACACTGCTAAAGTTTTGTTGCCATTCTAGACCGTACTCTTGGATGTTCCAATTTGAGCCAGTACCTTTCTTTCTCTCGAACAAAATATTAACTTCTACCTGCTACGTTATGTTCAATATATATGTTCCTACCAATTCTTCGTCACATATTTTCACTTGGTGTTAAGTTAACTAATTTTTTTATATACTATATATACTCTCGTCTGTGAAGCTTTTTAGCTTATATAGGCCTTTACAAGGAAGCATTTTGTATTTTTTTTTTCTTCTTCAAATTTTCGATCTTCTCTTGTTATGTATTTTTTTGTGTGCTCCTGTGTGAATAAAGAGTAAAGAATAAAGAATAATTTTAACCCTGCTATCGTGCTTGGTTACATTCAATATTCATGTTCTATCCAAGCTTCCAACCCATGTTTTTGTATTGTTTTTGCCACGTTATCTAATATAAACTTTGTTGCCGTGCTTGGCTATGTTAAATATTCTTCAGATGCTTGGACCATATTTTTCCTGGGCACACTTTACAAGCTATACTTTTTGGCTTGATTTCAGAGGCGCACCGAGCACTGGAGCTGCTCGAGGATTACCACGCAAAGCTGTCCCGCACCCAAGACAAACAACTGCGTCTTGCCATCGAGAGAGTCATCAGAATCTTCAAGTCGCGGCTTTTTCAGGCGTTATTAGGTGAGTACCTTTTTCTTTCATTACGTTATTGGGTGAGTACTTTTTATCCCAGCCGTTATTAGGTGCGTATCTTAATTTCCTGATATTATTAAACGAGTAACTTTTTTGTAAGACGTTATTAGGCGAGTATCTTAATTTACAGTCGTTATTAGGTGAGTACTTCTTCCCGGACACTATTGGGTGACTACCTCCATTTCCAGACGTTGTTATGCGAGAACCTTTTCTTCCCGGACGTTCTCAAAATAAGTTCATGACCATATTATGGAAGGTCTAATCGATAGTAATGCGTCAATGTATTGTAATTAAAACTAGGAACGATTCCTTCAAGATTTATTTACGTATGGAAGACTGATTTTTATAATATCTTCTATATGACCTGCGTTATTTTTAGAACTACTGTAAAAGTTCACACGGTTCTGCTTATTGTTTTTCGTAAAGGAATTTAATTTCTGATTTACTGAATCGTCAATTGGAACATAGCGAGATGGGAAATCCAGATGCACTTTAATCCGGAAAGTATGAGGTCCAGATTATATTGTACGTTAATCTTATTTAAATATTAAATTTATCGAACGATGTATTCAAATGTTAATCCTCTTTGTACAGATTGTTTGATATTAGTTATCATTTCATAACTAACTGAAACTAACTATAACTTTTTATCCGAAACTTTTTCCTAGTACAGAATCCTCTTCAACTTTGTAGATTAAGCAAGCTATATGCATCCTATTTTATCCTTGGAAGTCGATTTATAGTTAACAGTTTTGCTTCTATACGAATTATTATAATTATTCTAAATCAATCATGTTAATTAATTAATTAATCGAAAAAGCGTTCGTAAAGCAGCTTCCTTTTCCGTCGCAGTTAAAATTAAAGTTTGATGAATGAGCATCATTATTCAATTTCTCGTCTTACGACTTTCGGACGAAGTATTTCAGTTTTAATATTTTCTCATTTAAAGTGAATTAATGATAAAGATCGCGATATGAACTGTGGAAATCTATGCATAGCCAATGAACGAGAATGTATGTGCTCCTCAGTAACGCCTAAACTCGAATAAAATAAGTCATCTGCCGCGTTTATTTTTTCTTCTATTTATACTGGCTGTTTTGCGCCAGTATGCATTCATATAAAATATTACAAAAAAAAACTTCCCGGATAAATGTTGACGGCATTTCATAGTATAATGATGCATTTTTTTTTAATTACCTACGATCAATATTTAAATAAAGGTGATATTATAATTAAGGGATGGAACTATTAGTAAGAAAATTATCGGCAACTCAAATGACCATTAAAAGATCGTTAAAGTTTAACATAAGCGAGACGGAGTCGCGGAGCGTGCACGCTGCGTCGCTGTAATGGTCTCGTGTTCTCAGAATGCAAATCGGGTAGTAGGCGGGATATAACTTAAGGCCAGCTGCAGTGGACATGTGGAACTTCTCTCTTTTCTTTCTTCATCAGTTCGTTGACGCATATATGTAGTATTACCTGGTCGTATCGCTCCAATGATCTCCCTAAAAGGCTAAAACTGCGTGCGGATCACGATCAATTTGTTGCCCTTGGTGCACACTGACAACTGCACTTCGTGCTCAAGAGTCAAGACAAGACTACTGAAGGATAATTAGCAGATTTTGAGTTTGATTATCGTGCATATGCAGAATTTCTACAATCAACATGTATTCCTGAATACTCCTTTCCAGTTGCTTCGTTCACGGCCCATCCTTTTTCCGCAATGGCGTTGCTGTTCGATCACAATTTATTAAGTAGTTACGCCTAAAAAATAAAAAATTCTGTGTTATCTCTACAGAAAACTAGGTATTTAAGCAAATACTACCCTAGTGATGTTTTAGACATTTCCCATATTATATACGGGCTGCCGACAACCTCCTAGTTAATGCGCCAATCATAATTAGTAATTACCCTAATAATATTGCTCAGCTAATCCGAGACTTACTTGATAACTAATTAATTTTCTCAAATAATTCTGTAGGTACAAAACTATTTACCTGTTTCAGGTGCACCAAATTGGGTTTGAAATTCTGCAAATATTATTAGAATTTAGCCCAAATTAGGAATTGTTGGTGGGATGCGTTGTGCATGTACTGTAAGCTGGAACGTTGCATGGGACGCACACTGGTACGTCGAGGTAAAAATGGTGAAAGTTTACATAGGTACTGACTATCTCCGCGTAACGAACCTGTGACGGCCATTGCACGAGAGCAGTTCAACTGCGAATGATTCACATTTTGCGTTATGGCGCCTCTTACTTGAAAAATGGTTCCACAATTATTCGTATTTCAATTCGAGAATTATTTTTAACTTTCATCCATACTATGCACGAGAACTCGCGTCATTCAAGTATCGCTCCTGACGCAGAACTCGCAAGTGTTATTCTACTCTTCTACTGCAATCAATTCCACCATATATTATTAGATTTATGTTTTATTGATCAGAAATGCGTTTTGTTGCGTTTGGGCGATACACTTACTTTAAGATTGATTTGCTCGCTAATTTTTATGGCTAGAAAACACCTGCGAAGAACCGTGATTTGTCTGTCGTGAAACTGAAACCAAGGACTGAAGTGGGTCAATTTAATAGCGGTGGCGACTGGTGGGTCTTCGACACTACAGAAGAGCTACCCTAATGCGTTTGTTATTTGCGTAAATTACTATTTACTACGTCAAACCACGGCGTACTTATAATGGTTTATACGTAATTGTTTCAACTATACGTATACTACACTCCAAGGTAATAATTTTAGTACCACATACACCTACGCGAAAAGTGAATGCTAGGGTCGTGCCCAGACCCTCTGCACGGCCGGATAAATTCACCGAGACTGGCGTCTTGGATTGGGCAAAGCTTCAAGTGACGAATGATAAGGATTTGAGTACAAAATTCATCGTTTTTCGAATCGTAAACGTAAAGAACAGCCGCTCTCATTGACAGCATTCCAACCTTGAGTGATTCAGAATTGAGAGACACGATTTCCAACCCACGCCCCTTAAATAGTGCTCCGTAATTTTCATCTCAACTTCTGTAGTGTATTCGTTTCCTACATGTCCCATCTCTGTTTGTAACCATGTACCTATGTTTTTCATACAAATTTTCCATGCTTCTGGATAATACGTCAATGAATACTATTCTTCACTTCGTATTACCATTTATTAAAATAATTCACAACATACAATGTGTACATGATAATTAGTGCCTATAATGTAGTTAGCAGTCTCACGTGCTAAGTACGCAGAAAATCTGTTGCGTCAAGTACGTGTAGAATACTGTAGTTCAAGCGATAAACGTAAGTAGATCGAGAATAATACGGATTAAACTTAGTTCTACAAATACAGGGTAAATGATATCACTTTCAGCAGTATGGTTTAGGTCCATAAATTTCGAACCTCAAACACTGCAATAAGCTACCCTGATTCTCCATTTCGAATACGATTTACTAAATGAATCCTTTAAACAAACTAGTCAGGGCAAACAGCTCGTTAGAAAACCATGTGAGGATTTGACATTCGACAAAAACCTCTACGATATTTCCAACCATTAGAACCCAACGCAAATAATAGTTAGTTTTCCAGAATAAAATAGTAAATTACTATAATGATGGGTGCTAAACAAACAGGAATCATATATACAAAAATAAGAAACTTGTTTTCGGAACTCATTTCCATGTTACAGTAGACTATCCTCATAGTCGAACTATTTCCTCAGTCTCGCAAAATCTAATACACCCGATGATCACTGCCGCCCCTCTTGCCGATACCGCATGCGATGAGGACGCATCCAAGCTGTAGAAAAAAATTCAAATTAATAGTTGGCAGTCCACGACACAAAAATGTTTAGGTACTGTGGGCTGATAAAATTAATTAATTTCAAAATAACTGGCCACACAAGCCCATAAGCAGCACTATTCCTCGATGCAATGGCTATGCAGAACTAGTTCCTAAAAATTTCTGGATCAAATACCGCTGGTCAAAACACTTTAATTCACGATCATCATGTCGCCATTCTAGCTTTAGGTGTAATCTACTATTGTTGGTTTATTTGTCGTTTCGACAATACGGTGAAATTTTGACTTGCAGTTTCTTCAGAGGAGAGCTTTCAAATGAAAATATTGGACAATTCTTAACAAGATTAATCTGAAGAGACTGATAGTGCTCTTAGTTTTCTCCTTTGACACCCGACCATTTATTTAGCTCACCTGTACAAGTCCCAAAATTATCGCTCCGATCGCAAGCCATAACGCCTGTCCCCTTATGGTATCAACAAGGAGAGTGTAGCATCCAGTGACGTAAATATTGTCGGGGTTGGTGTTCACATTTTGGTAGCAGCCCGTGACGTTAGTCTTGCAGCACCCGGGGGGCACAGTGTTGGCGGGCAATGGGGAGTTGATATAGCCCGAATTCCAGTCCGTGTAGTTGTACACTCCGCAACATTGAAGCTGCCAAAGTTATTTGAAACTTGGAATAAGTTAATTATGCATCTACAGTAATTTGATGAATATTATTTCATCGAATAGAATTGCCGATGGGAATACAGAACCAAAGAAGATGAAGAAACTAGCACGTTTTTCTTCAAAGTTCTTGTCACATAGAACTTGAATTCTTAGAGATTGCTACTGAAAATGAAGGGCGATTTTTGGCTCTTGGCAAAATATTTCTAATCAAAATAGGGTGGGGCTGTCGCCAGCATTTTTGAAGAAATTAAATTGTTACAGGAAAAGTGTCGTAAGATCATTCCTACGTAATTTTTTTTAACATATTGCTTATTTCAGCACAGACTTCATATTATATGTGAATAATAAATAGCTTACCTGATGCTGAGCTGCGTCCAGCGCATTATTCAGTTCTGTGTCATCACCACCATACTTGCTGAACACTTCGGCCATGCTGTTCGCAATCTTCTCTTGAATTTCATCTTTTTCTACAAGACCGTAGACTGCAACCCCAATTTGGGCGCAGAGCAGAACCAATACAATAGTGGCGTACTGAAAAGAAAATAAATTACAATCAAGAGCGACAGGCATAGAAATCTTACAAAGAAGGTTAGCGCAAAGACGAGAAAAATTATGCTATCTATCTAGCGGATTACGGCATTCGTTAATTTTCTACCATAGTTTTACCAAGGTATCCGAGTAAGGTGGCCTACACAGAATATTATCATTAGAAAAAATTTCCCTTTTCTTGGCTATTATTTGACAATATTTGTAAAAATGGAAGCGCCAGAGAAGCACGATCAATTTAAATTATGGGAGTCATGTCAATGTTGAATGCATGCTTTACACTGGCATACTAAACTCATTATCGCTCACGTTAACGTTGCCTCAGTTCATCTAGTCCGCATTTCATTGAACGAAGTGTACTAAGCCTTATTTATTTCGGCTATTCAATTCAGTTTTTCTACGAAAATTTCAGCTATATGACAAATCAACTGGCGTCGTTGAAACTCGGAATCAGCTAAACAGTTCATGGCAAATAATTGGCTAAGTTAAGCAGAACAGTCAAGCTAATAACTGAACTGAACTTAACTTCGAAACTTACGGTATAGAGAAGACAGGGACTCTCTCGCATCGCACCAAAACAACCAAAGAAACCAATGAGCATCACGATGATGCCCAGAATGAGGAGGATGATGGGTAGCGTGAAAACTCCATCGCTAAGCAGGACCTTGAAGTCGTCGCTGTTGGCCAAGATCAGGGAGGCCAGAACAATGACGGCTACACCCATAGCCTGAAAAAATTCAGAGATGAATTCCAAGTCATGGAATACTATCAGAGCTAATACAATTGAAAATGTAAGTCACAATGTGTGAACTGCGTGACCTGGTAGATATATACAACTTAGGATAAATGGCAAAATATTGCGCGGATTAAACATGCTCGAATATATACACACGACTAAGAATTTACTCACAAAGACAATGAAGTTCAGGATGAACAGGAAAAACTTGGAGAAGCAACCCATCTTGATCTGTTTATTGGGTAACTCTTCTTGTTCAATTTATATTAATTTACCTCTGAAACAGATGCGGAAAATTTAAAAATTTGCACTGGGTGGTATGGGGAAATCTGGGTGGTATGGGGAAATCAATCTTACTTCGTAAAATATGTTGGTTTCTTACAATCCTAACGTTCTTGACAATTTATATTCATCCCTACTTGCAATTTCTATGTAGTAACAAAAACACGAACACCCGAGCCAGATGGTTTGACTGCATAAAAGAACAGCGATTGAACACCAATTTAACTATCCACTGTTGCCCTGCGTGTAATGCGATCGAACGGTTCTACACGAGACCAGACGGTCTTATATGAACCTTGAACCCTCACATAGCAGATGAATTTCTTTTAATCCACATATTGCTTGCCAAGCTTCAATCAATATTAAGAAATAGTACAGAGTAATAAATTGTGTAGTTAGTCCACAGGATTCACGTTTGCATGCAGGTTCTTGGTTACCCTTGCATCAAGTATAAGAATTCTTATTCTGACGGCTAACTGGTTCCAGCCGACTATTGACACCTGGCTGATAAGCCTCAAACTTTCACTTCAACTCGGAGATAGTGGTAATGCGCGGGGCGTGTGGCAGCGATCAAAGGGAGAATTCACTTCCGGTATAGATTATAGGAACGAAGCCAAGGTGAATGATAACAAGAAGGTTTGTATTGATTACGTATCTCGTTCATTGAAACTTTCGATACCTTTAGTACTCATACGTTGCAAATCCAGTTGTCAAAATAGTTTACAGGATCCAAAGAATCAAGTCAATTTGCTTTTGTTCAAAGTTTTAAGTACTTCGCACACCCATCCTAAAAAACGACTCGTATCGTCACTGAATATTATACACCTAACCTAGCAAATTTAACTACATAAATTATCAGTTGGTCAGCAGATTTAAAAATTTTAACGCTTTGGTTCAGCAGTAATCAAAGACCGGAATGCCACGTCCAGACCAATTATACACGTTCGCATTTACGGTGCTGCAAATGCCAACTTCGATTTACGTTCAATCAATATACAGATGAGAGGCGGTGAGATACACGGGCAGCCAAATAAATATACCTACTTAATTTATAAACATTGAAGCACTTCAATAATATGGAACATTAATTGCAGAGTTTTGTATACGAAATTGAGCAGATTAGTTTTTACGTGTAACATCACTAGCGCCCTCTCGCAAGATGCTTCCTGATAAACTGCGCTCCTGCTGACTGAGTGCTGAGTGGAGAGTCCTACGGCGGTTGGCAACCAGGACCCGCACTGTCCGCCTGCATGCCATTGGACGACAGATTGCCTTCTCATGACGTCACTCAAAGCCTTCTCATTGGCCGAGTTTAATTTCAGTTGTGTAACTTCCAGGATTTTCTGTGTCATCCTGTTTTAAAGATTTCGCCCACTCAAGGTGGCAGGCGTTTGACTAACCGCAAAGCTCGGACGTATTAGTAAATAGTAAAATTTGAGTCTCAGAGTATTTGCTAGTACGAAAATATCATTTCCGTTTAGGCTGTCCGATAAATATTGACTAAAAGAAATTCGTTACGACTGAAATATTTAACGAGGACAGTTACCGATGAATTGAATTTATAATAAACGGTCGCTGTTTTATTTTCTCGGTTGAAGCCACAAGGTAATAGTACATTTTATTTGAAGCTAACTTTGAAGCTAACTAATATAATAGGACAGTAGTAGTAGCGAGGTCAATATTAAATTGAATAATTTGTTGGCGGCCTTCAATTAAATGTGATAAACTTTTAATTAGAACGACCTTCGGTCCTGCAATCTTCGCTTAATTTCATCAACAGCTTTCTAGTTTCAGCTATACAACTTAAGGAGTTCACATTGCTATGTTCAAAATCCGTCCTATGAATTCATTGGCATGCACAGCGACAACACAACCTTACCAACCGTAGAAAGAGCTGGCAAGAACTCGAGCTCTTCAGGCAGCTGTCGTAAATGCACATCTGTGCCGTGATTTCGCATCGTGAATGATGTCACTAGCAACAGGTGCACACTGCAAGGGCCTATGCCAGTTAGCCCACAGCCCACCAGATTAACCAGAAGAGCGGAGAGAAGAGTTATTAGTTTAGCTCTCGTGACGTCAAATTCAGGAAATGGACACAAATTCTTGCTCGGGTACCAGTATAACTTCCTACATCCGTCCTTCTTTCGCCCCTCATCATAGGAAGCTCAATTACGAATTGGCCATTGATCTAAACAAATGGATCTCTAGAATACGGAGGGTTAATAACTAGACAGTTTAAAGTCTTGATAGTCTTACTGTAAATATTTGAAAGTTACAAATATTTACACTTTTACAGTATGACTGTCACTAAGACATAGGTAGTATCATAAATTGTAACTGAAAGGGCCACAAATGTCAAGAAAATTTAGATACACAACAGCGCGAGCAGTAATGCGCGATTTTCATCAATGTATTATACAAAATATCCAATGGCCGTCCCCTGCTCTCGCAAATAACGACGCACGACTCCTATTTCAAGTTTCACCACAACTGGGAAGAGCGTATCGCAGTGGTGAACGTAATATCAAACTAAAAGCCTGAGGCTAATCAGGCTATCAAACGAATGTTAAATGGAAATTCATGAAAAGTCGCAACCATGTTAGTCGTCTGACTACGACCAGACACAAATCCCTATATATTAAACAGTGCTTGATGTTTAGAAAGTGCTTTCCTTTGTTTAGACTTGAATTTTATACATGAATAGTGTCAGCAAACCCTGCTAAGACGTAACTCGTCAGAGATGATCACTAACTGGACGAACAAATGACACCGCCGATTTCGATACAGTATTAATGTAGATTATAAACGTTTATTATTGATTTAATAATCAGTCACGCTGTCAGCTCGATCGGTGTTTTTATTCGTTTCCTGCACAGCAATAGTGCAGAATCACAAAACACATGAAAGGCGCACATCCTACACCCGTCAAGTCTACGTCGTCACTGAACAGAAGCGCAGCAAAGGGGCGTATTTATTCGTGTAACAACTAACAATGCTTAGCCCGAAAAGTGATCCCACATGCCATTTGCTTTTATCAAATGCATGCGATCCATTTTCCTGCACGAGATAGGAGAGTCATTGTTTGATTGGAACATGCGCTTTATTGTCCAAATTCATCAGAACAAATCTAGCTTATTTTGTCAGTACTAAATTGATACCAAATGACCAAATGCGAGCAACGTTATTTGTGATCAAATCTTGAGTAACAACGTTTGCCATTGTATTGCAATAATTGCTGCATTTTGCTCGAACGCTGAATACGGCGATTAATATATATGTTTCAGAGAGTAATCTCGGCTGAAAATCAGCCAATTCCTTAATGTCTCAAGCTTTCAGCCACATAATAGCCACAACAGTAGTGATGCCAGTTCCAAAGTAGTGCAATTTGTGGAACCAATACTTTGATGAGACTGGACTTCTTACTGATGGAAGTTATTAGTATAAGCTGAAAATATAAAAAAAGAAGTTAACGTCGAGGTGTTAATAATTAAATGCACTTCTTTCAAAGTGGATTTTTCTATCTGTTGAAAAATGCAATACTAGTACTTACAGCTTACTTGTCTTTGATCAAAATTTTAATTTGATTTCTTCTTTGCATAACAAAAATAATGTTTTTACTGTTTACTGTTCTCATGTATGATTAAGTTTGGTCAGGCTACAATGATGTCGCGAGGAGTAGTCTATGAAGACCATCCCGGATTACTAACAAATCCTAGTTTTTCTGAATAAAGTGATTTTCAGCATCCCAGTTTTTTTCAAGTTGATCCATGTTGTATTGTCAAAGTGCGTTTTTTACGCATGACTATGAACTACTAAAATTAAACGGTTTTGGAAAAAAGTCCCTCGTACCTTATCTGAGGGACTACGATTCCTCCTCGTTGCATCGTTCTAAATCGATACCTGATAGAACTCCACTGCCCATCATTTCAGCCTGACGATTCCTCCGTGATGTGGAATCGAAATTGAGTATCACCTCTAGCTGATGAGGCAATGTTCCGTACGTCACCGTTCCCCAACGCGCGTTCATTGGCTGGGAACCACCTTCTGGATTGACGTCATCACATCCCGTTCATGGTATTGGTCAAGCTAGAATTCACGTGATTGTGGCTGAGGGTGACTCACTACCGCTCAGCCGCAGCTGCATCATATGTACAGTGTAGCTAAAAGACTTTGAGGAAAATCCTTAGTGCGTAACATGACGTAATTCTACTAAGAACTTTACCTTCCGGCAGTTATGTTTATTCCCTAATTTTTAGACTGTATGTCATACGTATTGCTAATACGACACTCCTCAATCGCGTAATGATGATGTTGTTACAGAATTTGTCCTATAAACTCATTAGTCAAAGTCATATTTTGATAATCTGAATAGTTAATGCGATCGTAGCTTTAATTGCCGGGAATATTTGACTGCTATCTCATCTCCAAACTTCCGCCTTGCTTCATCCAGAAAGTTATTTTGATGAAGAGTTACCACTGCGCGGATTGATTATATTATTGCACCATTTATCTAAACCTAGTCCAAGATCTGAACCGAGTTCCTTCCTAGAACAAAATCTGTTCTATACGAGAATCCGCCCTACTGCATAGAACCGAATGTCATCTGCGTGTGTTCATAGTGAATTTTTATATGGTACGTTGCTCTTAATGTACTGTAAACTACCGGTTTCTATTTAAACATCATATATCAGGCGCATTTTTTTCATTTTTACTAACGAAATAATTGAAAACCCGATTGAACTGGATACTTCAACATAGACTTCGATCGCTCTCTCAACTCGGAAATTTATGATTCATACATTTACCCCGGACATCAACGATATAGTTTTGGCGTAATAGCCCTGCAATCAAATCTGTGTTTGCGAAATAAATGCATCTTTCTATTCCTGTCTGTTTACGGTGGATGAGCCCTGAGAGGTTCTTCCTCGTTGTCAGTCCTGCTCTTAGCTTCTGTCAATTCTGGCCACTCTTTGTCAACATCACGCGGTTCGTATCTGGGCGTCAACTGAGATCTGATTGAGTGATTG